TTATAATCCTTCATCCGTTTGATTACCATTTTTTCAATATAATCATTTGACAAATTATTTTATTTATGTAAATAAATTCCAAATTTAGATGTGGAATACTATGTATTTTTTTTTTTTTATTCTTGAAAACACAGTATGTCATGATTCAAATAAATCGATTTATTAAAATTATTGGGAGGAAAAAATGATAATATTGAAATTAAGTTTCATTATATTAAAAAACCCAAGGCGTTCCCTTCAATCTGAAGTGCATTTTGATTTTTTAATTATATATTTTTGTATTTACAGATTTCAGAATTTTCTTTTGTTGAGAATTTATTTTCTGTATATGTTAAAATGATATTGAATAATACTTTATTTAAAAAATGTAAATAATGTATCAAATGAAATAATGTTTTATCATTATAGATATTGCCTAAATAACAAAACGATTTTTAATCAATTGTAAATTTTTTTTTACAAACTTTATGATAATTCTTTATCTCTTTTCCATTGGATATAGATTTGTAATTGCAAATCAGTTAACTTTTCTTTAAAACCATGTAAAGTTTTCTTTTCCAAACTTAGTTTTCACAATTTATCTTCTGTTTTGAGTTTTCAATTTCTTAAAGGGCAAATTTTTTTTTTTTTTTGATACTTTATTTCTTAAGGCTCTTTCTTCATTGTTTTAATTAGTGATACCAAATGATACACAAGTTTCAAATGAGACAATGAAAAATATACCTACTATGAAGTTGGGTCAAGTATGCACAAGGAAAATATTGTAAGCGACGCCGATCTCATAACCTGGCATTTGGGTAAAAAAATTGACAGTGAGACTTCCATGATAGCTGTTGGGAGATTATCCTTTCCAAGCGGGACTAACTTGTTGGTTCTACCTGTTGATTTGCTCGTTATATTATATTTCCTTTCAACTGAACTTTATCAAGTCTACATTTTTAAATATGTGACAAAAATGTCAAGCATGCTCCAAGATGTGCAAGTATTTTTTTTTTTTTTTGTTTCTCGCCCGGTATTCGAGGCTTTGTCCTGACTAATCTGGATTCGACCCGTGTCGCGCACCTGAAAATAGTGGGTGAGTCTCTCAACGGGGGCTGCTGCATACATAAGGTCTCGAACTCGAGACCTTACTTAAATTAGAACAAGTCGCTTATCACTTGATCCAACCCCTCGTTGATGATGTGCAAGTATCTTTTCAACAATGAAGTTTTTTAATCCGTATGGTTGAACTGGCAGATGGTTCCATGGAGTTGAGACCTTGTCCAATGTTATATCTTAATTTCTTGGGCTACACAAGATTATCAATCTTGGTTTTGCTTCTTGGGCCATGTACAACCCACCTTGTACATGTAAACGACTTGAACACTGAAATGATTTTTTTTTTTTTTTTGAAGCAGTTGTCCTAGTGTTTGTGCCATTCCTCACAATGCCTAAAATTGATGCCCTTACCATGGCGAAATCAATTGAAAAAGTCCTTTATTATTTAACAGATTAGAAATCAAATCAATTTATGAAACAAATATTTTTAAATATCATAATTAATTAATTGCTTCAGAAAAGTCAAATTTTATT